ATAATGTAGGAAATTTAAATCCTCTAAAAATAAATGCAGATTCTATTTCTAAAATAGTTATCGGGACTCGGTCTCTAGATCTCGGTATCGGCTGCACCAATTTTATTCGGACTGGTCGCAATCGAAGGATACCGATGACATTATGTAATAAAAGTGTTTTTAGATTTTTGACTGGGCTTTTAAATTCTGAGTAATTTTAATCTAAAGTTTGAAGATGTGAAAACTCGAGATACAGCTAGTGGTAGCGTCGTGAATTTGACAGCGACATGAACATATACACGATGACGTTCACGCATCAACGAGATAAATGCAAAATATCGTAAAAATTTTACTTTTCTTCCTCTTAAAACGGCTAAAACTCGAAAAATATAGACTTTAGGTGGGGGGTTATTTAAGAGAAAATTGTAGGGCTTGAAAAAAGCTACAAAATGAGGGGTTAAACGTTCAATTTCGACCTACATTCGCAGAGTTATAGCGAAGAAACGATTTTTTCCTTCCCCCCTGCCCCCCTAATTTTCCTCCGGGCCCCCGACTACGACAACTCAGAAATAAGCTTTTCTTAAACCCCCCCCACACATAGAAAAAAAAAATTTGCGTGTCGCATCACTTATTACCTAAATGTCTAAAATGACTGGCCTATAACACAACATGAAATGTGAACATACATGCAGGTAAAAAAAAAAGAAAAAGGAGATAAAGAGGAGAAAAATCAAAGGCTAACCTACTTCAACGACTTGGAGATCAAAGACTAAACTTGTTCTTTTTTGTATGCCGAAATTAAATGGAGAAGCATTCTTGTAACAATCTTAAATAATACTTAGCTCGTAGATTGCATTCATTCAAAAAGTTAACATCTTATCAATACAATTAATTACATTTAAATATTTTCATTATACAAAAAAATTTAAACCTTTTAATTTAAGACTTTAATTCAAATTTACACATCACGGAATCAAAGTTTATATTGCGGAATACATTTTTTGCGACATTTGAATCAATCAATTTACAATTTCATTACAAATGGACTCTGCATGATATTTTCGTTTGCGCGAGATGGATCAACAAGAACAACCACAAATCGCTTCAACCTGCTCGTAAAGCAGTAACGTATTTATTTTCGCCCGATGATAGAAACTGATGTGAAAGTAATTGCAATCTGCTATAAGATATAGGTACATACACGTTAAAGCTCTTATAGTAGCACTGTCAAATATTTTTTGCGCTGTAAAAAAAGAATAAGAGAGAGAGAGAGAGAGAGAGGGAGAGGGGGGGAGGGGGGGAGGGAGAGAGAGAGAGAGAGAGAGAGAGAGAGAGAGAGAGAGAGAGAGAGAGAGAGAGAGAGAGAGAGAGAGAGAGAGAGAGAGAGAGAGAGAGAGAGAGAGAGAGAGAGAGAGAGAGAGAGAGAGAGAGAGAGAGAGAGAGAGAGAGAGAGAGAGAGAGAGAGAGAGAGAGAGAGAGAGAGAGAGAGAGAGAGAGAGAGAGAGAGAGAGAGAGAGAGAGAGAGAGAGAGAGAGAGAGAGAGAGAGAGAGAGAGAGAGAGAGAGAGAGAGAGAGAGAGAGAGCTCATCTTACTGAGAATGGAATTTGTGAATGATGAACGGTTTGTCAAGCCTTTACGATAACTTGTCTAATCGATGAATTTCTGCGTCGAGTATCGTTTATTCTTAATTAAAAAAAAATACTCATGCTTTTCCCTTTTAGCCTGAGGTAATTCCTTTTCAATCTTTATTAATGTTGTACAATAATCACAAATCCAAAAAAAAGCTAACTTTTAATCCTTTCTATAAATTAAATTAATTTTCGTATAATTTCTTTAAAATACCTATTTTATTTTTATTCCCTGACATATAAAAGCGATTTAAATCTTTTCAATATTTTTTCTGTTATTGTCATCCGACGTTATATTATTAATGTCAAAATTGGTGCATTGGCATTACAACGCGACTATGTTAAATGAGTGAAGCCGATATAATCAAGCAAATCGTCAGAATGAGCGCTTAAGGAGCAAACTCTCTCTACACACACACACGCGCGCGCGCACGCGCACAAAGCTAATCATATTGTCACGTTGATCTACATAAACTTTATACATTATATTCACCCTCGAGAGATTACTATAAACAAAAGGGGAGACGAGGAAAAAAGTCAGTTTTATTTATTTAACTCTTTAAATATAAATAAAATTACCAGAATCATTTTTAAAAAATTAAAAGTCTAAGAAAATTTAATTAAAATATTAAAAAATTTTAAAAAATTTAATTTATCTTAATTTATTAAAAAAATTGTTAAACAAACCCTTTTTAAAATTTTGAATCGATATTTATTATATCGATACAATTGAAAAATAAATCAATTAACCAAAATTAAAGACGTTTATTGGGAATATTATAGTAGAATCTTCAAATAGGATTACATCAGAAGATGAAGTATTATTAGGTATATATGATATAATATCTTCTGTAAAACATTTCACATTTTTCTTACATGATTAAATACCATTCTTTTTTCTAAAAGCAATGTTTAAATGTTATTCTTTTTTTAAACGCAATCATACGCGCACTGAACTCACCAACTTCTCGGAAGATGATCCTTCCACTTTTAATGTTCTTTTTTTTTTTAGATAGACGCCGCACGAAGCGAAATGCACTCACGCTCGCACGTCCGCTAAGCGGAACACTTTCGCGCTTCCGGTTTTCAATTTTGTAAAAACTGGATTTTTAAAGGGAGATCAACAACGATGACACGAAGCTCGATAGTGGACCTTTACGTGGACGTGCGACGTCTCATGTAAAAATGACGACGATATTCTCTCGCGCCGGAACGGCTGCCGGCGGCGATACAAGGGCGTCGAAGGTCGCAGCTGCGCGTCGCGGCACGCAGGTGCGTCTCTATCTCTCTCTCTTTCCCTCTTGCTTGTTCACGTATTTGGTAGCTTGCGCGATTTAGAAACTGTTCGGATATGACACAATGCGACGCCGATGAAAACGTTGTCATTTTATTATCGTTAAAATACGCAAGAAGATAAAATTTCGAAATTCTTCGAAACTTGGTATACATATCCATTACGTTAATCAAAATTCCAAAAAAAAGAGAGAAGAAATTCTTGGAAAATAGATTTTGCCATAATATACATATGCAGCATCAATTAATATTTTATATATTAATCTTTCACAGATATACCGTTTGTAATAATAAAATAAAGAAAAAAATGCTTTACAATTAAATAGAATGTAATAAAACACAAATCATTCCCCTTAGTAGAAATTTATTTTTTTAAATAAGATAATAAATCTTGCAGTATCAATAGTTTCCCCTCTCCCTCCTCTCTCTCTGCGCGGGCGCGCGCGCGCGTGTGTGTGTGTGTATTATAATAAGACTATTTTCAATTTAAAACTTATATTTATTGTTAATTCGAATTCATAAAATTATTTAAAATAATTATTTCCTTATAATTTTTTCTTAATAAAAAATTATTTTTCTTAATTAACATTATGCATACCTACATTCGATATATGTCATATATGCACAGAACTTGGAAAAAAAAATGTGCATACGAAACAAATTATACTTCTAAGTAAGTATATACGTCAATTAAGCACTTGAAATCAATTCGTGCAAATCTAGATGTACACCGGAGAGTTGCCTTCGCAAAGTCAACATATAATCAACGGTAATAACAAACAAAATTAGTCATTGTAGATCTGTTCTTTGTAGTTGAACTAGTTCAATACTAAAGCCAGCGGCACACAATGCTTGTTTTCCTGCTGGATTGCTGGATTAGAATCTTGCCGTATTGGCTGCGATAGTGGCACTGTCAGCACTGTAAGCACTGTAGCCAATCCGATGGAAAGATTCTAATCCATGACGCTGGCTTAAAATTATAAACTATAGGCTGTTTTCGGTGGCTAAACTAGTATACACTCTTTTGGAACTTATGATGAGATAGATATATGTTTGATATTTGTTGAAAGCGAGAAACAGAGTTCTAGCGCAGTCTAGTGTAAAAACACAAAAAATAGACCATATGTATAAACTAATTTAACTAATATACACTCGTATTTAAAATATATTTGTACTTAAAATGAAGCAGATATATATTGTATTTGATATGTAGCAGAAAATAAAGTGCTATGCAATTCAGTCCAGATTGTAGAAAACCTATTGTTGAATACTGCTTACGTCGATTTAAATTATTCTACGATTGAAAAAAAAGAGATCGAGATTCGATGGAACGTTGAAACATGGACAATCTTGACACGTATTTACGACACTTGAACAAGTAACGTACTTTAACAAGCTGTGCGAAGAACGTTACGCTGTATGCGTATCGCGTACGGTCAAATTAAAAATTATGCTAATGTGACTCTGACCGCAACTCTAACGGGGTGATCATCGACTGGCGTACGTTCCTGGCAGAATCGCAAGATTCGCCACGAGAGGCGCAGCGTCGCGACGCTCGTCTTCCTCGTTCTCATACTGTGCTGCAGATAATGCCGCATTGCCGCAAACGTTCGTCATCGACGCGACCCGAGGGTCGTACTTAGCGGCAACGGCGGCAGCAGCAGCGGTAGTGCGAGCGGCAGCAAACGAATACGAGACGGAATGTTGACGCGAAACACGGTGTCATCGCGAAAGACGATGAGAGAACCACGAAGCCGGGTCATAATCAATGAGATTAAAAAAGAAGAGGGAAAAAAATAAGAAAATAAGATACAAAAGAAATATAAAGAAAAGAAAACGCGCAAGTTCGCGCTCACCTTGATCACCGTCAGGAATTTGACGATCAGCAGCGCAAACATGAACATCCGTCGGTTGCCCGGTTTCTTATACCACTACAAGATCGTAACGGTCCTCCTGACATCCAGCCTGTTCCTCATCGTTTACCTGCTTCTACATTGGGGCATAATGTGCACGAATCTCGAAGCCTGGCGTCACGTGTCTACCGTGGTGAGTTTCACTGGGTGTTACTCCGATCGGAACAGCATGCGCGATATCGCATCTTCGAACGCGATACCAATGATACCGATTACGCGAGGCGAGGAAAAAGTTAGCATGGGGTGAATACGTGAAGGTGTGCGAGAATGAATCCTGCTCCACCCTCACCGCCCGCACCGCCATAGTTGGCGAAAGGGGATGAAAGAACAAAACGGACCAAAGCGGACGCACGCGTACTCTGCCACAGCCTCCAGAACGGAGCAAGCATGCCGATCACCCCGATCCGCAGTAAATTTGTACGTGTTATTTGCATATGATATTTAAAGCGAGGTAATAAATACTTATTTATTACGTTCGCGGATTTTCTCTACATCACTTCAAATGAAAAGTGCAACAATCGCGGATTTTCCGTTAAATTGCTTATCCGCGAGAGAAATTCAAATATGAACAGCCGGTAAACAAAAGTACAAGTTCAGTATGTACAAAGATCAATTAAAATGTAATTTGCGTTTACAAAGGTCATTGATAAAATATGGACTGCTATGATAAAAATTGTAAACTTTACATGATTCACTGATAAACTTATCATTACGGAAAGAGAAAGTCAAGTGTACTTGGCCCGAAACTGAAAAGTTCAGCTTGAAAATTGACTAAGAGATAGCTTATCCGGAAAAAATTTACTTACGATCGACTTTCACACACATATATGTATATATCTGAAGACACGGTAGTGTCTCGGTCATTTTAACTGAATAACTTGTCGATAAACATTTAGAAATTTGTTTACGAGAGTTTGCTCTTATAAACCCAAATTGCAGTGACAATTTGACAATTCTGGCAAGGCTGCGTCTTAATAACCCATAAAGACAACGATCTCCATAAAAATTCCTAATTTTGTCAAGATCGATCCATACTTGAATAAGAAATCCTTAAATATTTCTAAATGCTTAATAATGTATTTCTTTTGATTCCAATTATATATCCAATAATGTCCATTGCAAAATAAAAGTTATTAAAATTTTAATTCAGCTGTAATTTTAATTATAAGTGTATAAATAAGATTAATTTTTTTTATTTTAAATCGTGAGAACATTTACTACAATTACTAATGATTTCAAAAAGTTATGTATATTAAAGGTCACATATATTGAAATTTATATAGAAAGAGATAAAATGATTACATTGACTTGTAAATTTTTGCCAAAATATTAAATAATTTTTCTTTACAAAATATATCAATAGTTGGCCTAGTTTATACGCTACGTTTAGGCCGCCACCTATACTCTAAATCTAATCTAAACACGACAGGTCGCGACGGTGTAAATAGCTGTAACATCGCTTATCATCGAGGGATCTTTTCCAAGATTCTTGACCTCTCTTAGGCCGCACGACCTAACTAGCTTTAACGCATGTAAACACAGGCAGACGGTCTAAAGGCGTAAAATGTACTAAGAACACCTTTATTTTGTTTAATAGATGGCACTTACGTGAGACTAAATGCGATCTGCATTAGGCCCAAAAATATAGGTCTATATGGGGTAAACGCTCCGTTTGAGACCTCTTTTAGGTGAGGTAAAGATCAGGGTATAGGTCAGGTCGTTGGATGTAAAGTAGGCCAGTTTTACGTCAAGATTTTATTAAAATTGTTATAATTTTAGATTTCTTTATAATTCATAATGTTTCTAAAATATCCTTTAGTATTTGAGCACAATTGTAGAAAAAGAGAGAAATTTAAGATTTTAAACTATAGATTAAAATTTTGGCTGTGTTCGAGAAATGTGCTATCAACGCTATTTTGTCATTCTATTCCTAGTTTACATCCCAAGATAAAATGACACAATGGTATTGATAGCGTATTCCTCAAATATGATATAGCCTCAATCAGGCCTAAAGTGGATGAAGTCTTATATGATTTAAATCCTACATGTCACTGCGGTCATTACATTCTAACAATATAGTCGTAGCATAGAATTAAGAGAAAAATCGCTTATGTAATACTTGACCGACACACGCAAGACCGTCGTGAAACAAAAGCGATAACATATAACATTTGATATTTTTTTCAAGCTTTACTGTATATGTATATACACGCGCATTTAATTAAAAATTTTTCAAAAAATTGAAGTGTTATCAAATCGCATTCTAAAAGTTTCTGTAGTTTTTTAAAACATATTTTGATTGTACTTGTAAAATAAGAGAGAGAGAGAGAGAGAGAGAGAGAGAGAGAGAGAGAGAGAGATATGTGCGGATTTTTATTTTACCTACTGGACGATTAAAGATGTTCAAAGAACGAATAGTATACTCATTACCTACTTAATCGTCTAATGAATATAAATAGAAAAATCGCATACGTATATTTTCATATAGGGAAATGAATATTCTAAATTAAAATTAAACTAAAAGAGATAGATCATAACGTATATAATTTTAATGTAACAATTAAAAATATCTCTCCATTGTATGGCAAAAATTATTATCTTTAGTAGAAAGAACAAATAGAGGTAAATGCAGTGATGTTAGCATGTTGGCTTGACTTTTACTATTACCTATTCTAAACAAATCACTTATCTATCTGTTATATTTTTTACATACTTTTTAACAAAAAATGTCACGATAGTATATGTGTGTACACACATACTATCGTGACATTTTTGTACATACACACGCACGCACGCACGCACGCACGCACGATAAGACTTTTCTTCAGTCTTGAGAGCGTTTGATAAATGCCATTTCGGATACGCAGAATGTACAATACAGGCACATATGTATGAAAGTCTATACGGGAGCCGCGAAGTCACGTCACATCGTCCCCTCTCGAGACTGTTCCCTCATCGTAGCTGATTGAACTAAAAATATCACACGAACGAGCTCGTGCAACATTACGATGTTGCACACATACATGCATACATATAACACATAGTTTATACGAATATAACGCCCACGCGTGAAACAGAGCCACGATCTTTCATTGCTATTGGTTCCCGTGACTCGAACAGTGCGTGATGGAAAGAAACTGTTCACTGAAACAGGTGTTAAAATGTTCGTCCAGTTTTGTTATTAGACTAATATTTACTAATATTCAAAACGAAATAACGCAAAAATTCCTTAATTTATTCAGATAAAATTACTTCGAAATAGAGTAATTTAAATAATTTTCTTGTCCAGAATCTTTTTCCCCTTTGCGCTTTTTTCAAAAGATTTAATTTTATTTTAAATAAAATTTTTAATAAATAGTAATATGTATAATAAATATATATACAAATAGAATTGCACTGAATCATGGTTATAATGATTTAGTTTTAGAAAATGCGATTATTTATTAACAATTATCATTACTGTTTAATTAATTGTAAATAGCTGTAATAAGAAATTTTTATGCGTATCTACATATTACGCAATTTGTTTCACGTTATTTGCGTGCATTTTCTATTTTTTTTTGTTTTCACAGAATACGAGAGCCACTGTTTCGATTCCGAAATTACGAATGTTTCGCTTATCTGCTTATTCACTTATTCATATAGTATTCGATCATACATAATTTCCATTTCAGTGCAGCCAGCACCGAGACGGTACAGCAATGGGAATTCTCTGTGAACCATTATGCACAGACAAAGGGATAAATTCGCTAGCATGCGAGACGCTGCATGCCGGCAAAGAAGCTGTTTTCTCCGCGCATTGGGAAACGACACGACTTATATTCAAGGCTTCGAGGTATTCCTTCTTTTCACACTATGCGAGAGGACCAAAAGTATACGTTGCGCGCTCTTCTAATTTTTCTTTTCGGTACTTTATTACACACACATACACACCCACGTACGCATGCACGCACGCGCGCGCGCACACCACACACACACAGAGGATGTATTATAATAATAATTATTACCATTTGAAATATCTTCTAATCTATAAAGTATAGAGAAAAATTTATATACAAAATTACACGATGTAAAGGAATCTATCATATGTAAAGGAATCTATCATATGGTGATAATAATTTTTGTCCAGATGGAGGCGCTTCGGAGATTTCAAGACCAACTTCGTTTATTTAAATGGAATTGTATGAATTTTTTTACATAATATGATTCCTCTAATTATTCTGCATAAAAAAGTATTAAGATCATGGTATAGAAAAGAATCAATAGTGTATACGAGATATTTTATACCTTATTCTGACATAACTTTTTACGTCAATAAAACGAATGTATCGTGCTTCAATGAAAACAAATATTCTGTTAATTATTATAATAACATTTCATATTTAATATTAAATATTAAATACAATAATATTTAATAATTTAATTAAACTTAAAGGTATTCAAAATAATGGCCACTACTATCAATACAACATTATATTCTTCTGATTATTAATTGGCTTGCTGTTCTAATAATGTTGGGAGATATTGACGTATAAGCTGCAATAATCCGTTGTTGTATGTCGTGAGATGTAATTGGTTGTTCTTTATACACCATGTCCTTTAGAATTCTCCATAAAAAATAATTTAATGGTGTCAAGTCTGGTGAACGAGCTGGCCATGTTATAGGACCCCCGCGTCCAATCCAGCGATTTGGAAATTTTTCATCGAGTTTATTTCTCGTAATCAATGAAAAATAAATTAGGCATCCATCGTTTTGATACCACATTATTCGTCGTGTAATTCAGGCAAGTCTTCTACATGCTTAAGAGAATTAGTGTACCTATTGCCATTTAGATGTCCGTTGATAAAATAAGGACCAATAATTTTATTACTTATCAATAATAAATGAAAAGTTTGGCTAAAAACAACGTTATTATAAATAAACTGGACGTCGAGTGGCTGAGCGCTCAATGCGATTGACTCGCGATCTGTAAATCCGAGTTCAATCCCATCTGCGTCCACACGTTATTTTTTACGTGTAAGGAGCCGAAAAATTGCTCCATCTAGAACTGGTGAATTTAAGAAATCTATAATCATCAGCACCGTTCGGATCCGGCATTAAATTGTAGGTCCTCTATATGAAAGTATACTGAAGAAGACAACGGAAAACCACTCTTTGGTTTATTTCATTCCCAGGATATTACTATGGCGAGGAAATCATGGCCAAAGTGATCGCCAACGTCCGGGGGACCGGATAAGGCACATAAAGAAGAAGAAGCTAAAAGCAACGTTATAAATAAAAGGACAATAGCGTAATTTATTAGACAAGTTGATCTTCATTTATGAAGAATGTCAAATCCAGGTGTAAAGTAATTTTAAACTTGATATCTCGTAAATTATTGGTATATTTTTCGGTACCATGATCTTAATACTCTTTTATGCAGAATAATTAGAGAAATCATACTATTGTGTAAAAAAATTCATATAATTCCATTTCAAACAAAGTTGTCCTTGAAATTTTCGAAACGACTCCATCTGGACAGAAATTATTATGATATACATATATGATAGCCCCCTTTACATTGTGTAATTTTAGTTATATATTATATACATATAAAATTTTCTCTACACCTTATAGATTAGAGGATATTTCAGGTGATAATAGTCATTGGGTACCCTATATGTACATACATATATACATATATATAGTATGTTTTATTTTTAAATATTAAATAAGAAAATGTTAATTCTCTTTCATATGAATTAATCTTACCTTATAACTTAGGACTAAAATACCCTCGGAACAATTCGAGTCGCTCTATTGGATTGATGCGACCGGATTGCGACACTTCCCATCTGAGGAGGATTTTATCATCATGATCAAAGATTTAGCTATCAATAAACTTAACGTGACTCTCACGCAACATCAGTTACAAAGACTCGCCCGATTGCGCACCCATCGAGTCGAGACCGACGCTACGAGACGTCAGTTGGAGATGGAGAATCTTTGGCCGTTGCTGCAAGAGAATGAATATTTAATGGCGATTTTGTACGAAGACAGGGATGTGTTTCCGCAACCGATCGGCACGTGCGGCACGTTCTACGCGGTTGAATACGTCCGACCGATCGAAACACCGACGACGGTACTAGCGTTGTCCGATTCGAAACCAGAGTGGGCCAAAAGGTTAAAACTCGCTGTAATGATCCTTAATCTACTCGAGGAATTGGAGACGAACTTTCCCGAGCCACTTTATCTCTGTGATGTGAAAATTAATCATTTCGGTTTACCCCTAGGCGGGCAAAAACTAAAATTCTTAGATCTGGACGCAGTCTTCCCTAAGACTATTATTGATCGCATTATCAGTGATGGTAAGAGTTGCGAAAAGCATGAGGATTGTGATTATTTTGATTGCCGGTCTATCTGTTCAAAGGAGAAACGCTGCCAATCTCCGGTCCTTAATAATAATTTACAGGTAAAACTAATACTATTAAAAACAATAGATAATGTAAGGCTCCATAAATATAAAACAATTAAAATAATAAAGGACAAAGAGTCGATAATATAACGAAACTAAAACTTCAATATTAAAATATGTAGCTATGTTACAATACAACAGACGACGTTTCTACTCCGATCGGGTCATTTTCAATGTTACAATTTCAAAATTACAATTTAATACAAATATATTATTAATACAAAATTCGTTATTCTATAAAATTTGACAGTGTATCAGTTCGTATTCTTCGCGCTTTGAGTCAATAAGATGAATATTCGAATGTCAGATAGTATAAAATATGATATTCTAAAAAATTATTCATGAGCAAATTTAAAAATAATTAGTCATGAGAAAGAGAAAATAAAAAGAAAAAAAAAGGAAAATAATAATATTATATAAACATATAGTATACCTTATCAATATAATAAAAAGAGAGTCTATATAAGTAAAAATACATTATAAAAATACATTATAAAATTAGCAATATGATACAAGTTATATTATAAAATAAACGAAATTACAGAACTGTCACTATGATCTCAACAAAGCCAGATAACGCAAAGTCAAGAAGAAAAACATTTTTCCATTTTATTATAATTTCATATTTTCCTATATTCGTAATATTTTTGGTATTGAGACTTGTCGATTTTTGAAAGATTTCTGTAATTTTATTAAATTTAACGTCAACGTAAGAATACGTATTAGGTTTCTAAATGCTTATATTAGATATAATTTAGTCTCACTACACACCTAAAGTGTACATACATCAACAATAATAATCTGTTTTTATATAATAAGAGTTCTTATAGAAGAATCGAAAGAATAAAATCAAACCATGTAAAAGCGATTTTACAGTTAGAATTAAAAGATCATATCGATCTTTGCATTTCACTAGAACGAATATTTTTGAATTTTCTTCGAAAATTCATGATTTATTGCCAGCCGCCGTAGTATATGAATTTTTTAAATATTTAGATTATATCAGTGATTGTCATTTTTTTTCTACAAACAGAAAATATTGACAAGAAGATTTACTGGCTAAAGATAAAAGACTCAAAGATTAGAAGACTAAAAATTAAACCTACTCGTATGACATAGGTTTGCACTGTAAATAACGAATTGAAAACTAATATAATTAAAGCTAAAAATGATATTCCTTCACACACAACAGAAATCATTCATATTTCTGCCGAAAATTTTGGTGAAGCAACTCCTTTATAAATTCTCAAAACGATAAATAGTTTTACAATCTGATATTGACATTCCTTTGGAGGTACAGTATTTGCTACAGTTAGGTGAAGGTTTTGGCCTTCCGATTAATAAAAACAACATTGAATATACATTAATCGAGTTTATCGAAAGCATTGAAAATTATATTAATGGTCGCCCGAATAACATAGTCAATTTATATATAATTAGAATAGTTAGAAACAATAGTATTCAGATTTTGAAACAATTCAAAAACGAATTTCCTAAGAATAATTCAATTGATAGATTATTATATAATAGGATAAAGTTAACTAATAAATTCGTTAAAGACCACCCTGAAATATGAAATGATTTCTAAGGCCGACAAGAGTAAGGCTGGGTCCACAACCTGGCTTTAAGAGGTCGTAAGCCGTAAAGTTGTAAGAAATTGACCAATAATAGTTGAATGCGGAAAAAATAATTCTCTATGATTGGTCAATTTCTTACGACTTTATGGCTTAGGGTCTCTTAAAGCGAGGTTGTAGACCCAGCCTAATGTCACTGTTGCTCAGAATAAATCTGACATAACACATCACTCAATAAGTCCTAGGCCTGACATAATAGATGGCGCACTAATAACAAATCCATATGATTTTTAGAAAGTACTAAACCTTCAAACATACGTGTCAAAATTTTAGCTCAGTCGGACCTTTACTTTACAAGTTATAGTGGTTTAAGTGACGCTACTTTTGCATTTTTCAAAACAATGGAAAAATCTGAATTTCGTGTGTTGATAAAGCATTGCTTCCTGATGGGAAAAAATACAGTTCAAGCAAAGCAATGGCTTGATAAGTGTTATTCGGACTCTGCTCCGTCGGAAACAACAGTTAAGAGGTGGTATGCTGACTTTAAACGCGGTTGTAAGAACACAAATGATGCTGAACGCTCTGATCGCCTAAATTCGACAAAAGTAGCGTCACTTAAACCACTGTAACTTGTAAAGTAAAGGTCCGATTGAGCTAAAATTTTGACACGTATGTTTAAAGGTTTAGTACTTTCTAAAAATCATATGGATTTTAAAGTCACTAGATTAATAAAGTACCGCAATCCATTAGACCAATGTATAAGGATTTGGAGCCAAAATGGCGTCGAAAAGTGTAAATAGTGCTCACTTTCATAATGTATCTACATATTAAGTCTCTGTTAAGTGTAATAAACAAGTACCAATGTCGGTGCACTGTCTGTGTGCACACATTCATACTCATATGCATATGCATGGATGTTGGAGCCAAAATGGCGGAATGATTGCGGTACTTTATAAATTTAGTGACTTTAATGGATTTGTTATTAGTGCGCCATCTATTATGTCAGGCCTAGGACTTATTGAGTGATGTGTTAAACAAGATGGAATTGATACTTTCAGATGGTAACACATACGAGATTATAAAAAAAGATCCAATAAAAAATCTTACCGATGACTTGCGTAGCTTACTTAGGTGGAAAGGCAAGGGGTTTATTGATGATTCAACTTATAGAAAACTACTTTACTACCAATGGTATTGTTCCGAGAGCATATGGTTTAACTAAAATTCATAAACAAAATTATCCTTTCAGGATAATTGTTTCATCTATAAATAGCCCACTTTATTATTTTTACTTTAGAAGACGTGGTAGTGTCTCCGGCCATGTTCAAAAACTGAAAGACACTACAAGTCTCTTATCTCGAGCCACCAAAGTCCATTTTAGGGGGGTGCGTAACTACTAAAATATAAAAATTTTTGAATCGAATCATTATATGTCCTGAAAGGCGGCATCGCAACGAGTAATTTGAGCAAAAAAAATGTTTCATCGGTCAAGCCGTTCTGGAGATACAAGCGGTCGAAAAGTGATGACTTTAATGAAAAATTAAAAAACGTCTCCTTCTGCTTCTTCTTCTTCTACTTCTCTATTCGCATTCAAGGCCGTACTAAAACTTTTCAATATCCCTTCTCACCTTTCACTCACACCCCCACTATCTTCAACCCACCGGACCTCTCCTCCCCCTCCCCCACACCACCCACCCTCACCCTTTCGCCGTATTTCACACTCTTTCGTTATTACAACTTTTTAACATCCTCTCTCACCTGTCACTCGTACCTCCACCATCTTCGACCCATCGAACCTCCTCCCCCGCCCCTCCTCTCCCCCCACCCACTCCATCACCCCTCTCTTTATATAATAACAAATAAAAATATTATACGAAAGAGAGGGGCGGGGAGGAGGTCCGGTGAGTCGAAGATGGTGGAGGGTGGAGGTACGAGTGACAGGTGAGAGAGGATGTTAAAAAGTTGTAATAACGAAAGAATGTGAAACACGGCGAAAGAGAGGGGTGGTGGGGGTTGGCGGTGGGGGAGTAATATTATTATTAATTCCATACCTGAAGCTCTAAGTTTCATTAAAAACAGTTTCGATTTAATCAATAAATTAAAAGATGTCAGACTTAAACCAAATTCTTTGTTGATCTCTTTATTCACTAACATATCTATAGATATGGCCTCTGATAGTGTTGTTAGGAGATGGGATTCATATCCAAGAATATAAAAATTCCATTAGAAGAATTTTTGATTACTTTTAAAATGGTTTTAAATTCCACTTTTTTCTCATATAATAATATAATTTATAAACTAATTTTTGGGACACCTATGGGATCACCTTTATTACCAGTTGTCGCTGATATAGTTATGCAAGATTTTGAAAAAATTGCGTTACAAAAATTACCGGTTCATTTGTCATTTTACTATCGTTATGTTGATGACATTATTCCGGCTGCCCCATCTGAAAGCATCAATGATATCTTGAATATTTTTAATTCGTTACATAATAGATTACAGTTTATTATTGAGGTTGGCAATGATGGCAAAATAAGTTTTCTGGATACTATGTATATTAATTACAAACGAGTATAGTCTCATCTTCGACGGATATCGTAAAGCAACCTTTTCCGGCAGATTTCTTAATTTTTACTTCAACCATCCACTTTGTCATAAAAGAAGTGTAATTTATGGAGTTGTAGATAAAATCTTTCGTCTGTGCCATCCGATGTTCCAACAAAACAATCTAATTGATGCCATTAACTATTATTTTTTTAAGTAATGGATATCCTTTCATTTTTTCTACTATCCATAACAGAATTAACTTCCATATCAATAGTATTTCCAATAATAATATTGTAATACTAACATTAAAAAATTTTTTACTATTTCTTATGTCAATACTATTTCCGAAAAATTTAAACCTATTGTTAAAACATTTAATTGTAAAAACTAGCTTTCATTATTCCGAACACATTAAAAAATTTCGTTAAAAACGGTAAAGATAAATTTAAGATTTAAAGGAACAAACTTGCAATCAGAATGTAGTTTACAAAATATCTTGTAATGACTGTGATGCGAGTTATGTTGAACAGACGAAAAAATAATTAAAAACGAGAGTACATGAACACATTTCAGATATTAATAAAATTTCAAAGTCTTTTTCGGTTATTTCTAACCACCGTATCGAGATGAATCATAATTTTAAGTAGGAAAAAGTTGAGATATTAGACATTGAACCTGATACAATAAAATATTGATTTCTGAAATAGTGCATATAAAGAAACAGAAACATGGAATAAACAAACAAAATGACACGGATTCATTGCCAGAGATGTATTCAAACATGATACATTCTCTTTCCCCTTCCTAATATTTATCCTTTCCTTCTTTCCTACATCCTCTGTAATCAATATGTTTTCCTTCTTGACTTTGCATTATCTGGCTTTGTTGAGATCATAGTGACAGTTCTGTAATTTCGCTTATTTTATAATATAACTTGTATCGTATATCTAATTTTATAATGTATTTTTACTTATATATAGACTCTCTTCTTATTATATTGACAAGGTATACTATATGTTTATATATAATTAATATTAAATTTTTCTTTTTTTTTATTTCCTCTTTCTCACGACTATTTATTTTTAAATTTGCTCATGAATAATTTTTTAGAATACCATATTTTATACTATCTGACATTCGAATTTTCATCTTATTGATTCAAAGCGCGAAGAATACGAACTGATACACTGTCAAATTTTATAGAATAACGAATTTTGTATTAATAACATATTTGTACTAAATTGTAATTTTGAAATTGTAACATTGAAAATGACCCGATCGGAGTCGAAACGTCGTCTGTTGTATTGTAGCTACATTTTTTAATATTAAAATTTTAGTTTTGTTATATTATCGGCTCATTGCCCTTTATTTAAATTGTTTAATACTATTAAGTATTTTTTTCTGTTATACTGGGTATCGTATTTAATTAGTATTTTTTTCGGTAAATGTGTCGATGAGGAGACTCCCCCCCCCCAATAACTTTGACCTTGATATATGTTGTCAAGGTCATGATCCTGAGTAACCTCCAACAGGTTTTAGCTGTCGCTCGTCCTTCGTTACAAAAGTTATTAACAATCATAGTTTTAAAATAAACGTATTATTTCTGCTATACATGTATGATATTTAGTATTATTATATACCTTTTCCTGTTCAGTAACGTTAAACTTTCCACGCGAAGTAACTTTAACCCCCCCCCCCTGTTACTGTTAAAAATAACCTAACCCAATCCATTTAGTGGTGTGAGATAGCTCTCGTTTCGCGTAGAAAGTCGAAACCCACGTGCAACAGTACAGATGACTTTTTATGCGAAAACACTTCCATGATTGTACTGTTGCACGTGGGTTTCGACTTTCTACGCGAAGCAAGAGCTACCTCACACCATTAAATGGGTTGGGTTAGGTTATTTTTAACAGTAGTGGAGCCCTCCCGCAGGGGGGCGGAACTTATTGTATCTACATATATGACTTCTATAATTGTAAGAGAAAGGTGTAGATTGGTACTTAATATCATACATGTGTATAACATACGTTAAACCTATGATTTTTAATAACTTTTTATCGAAGGACGAGCACCTGTTGAGGGTTACTCAAGGTCATGACCTTGACAACATATGTCAAAGTCAAAGTCATTGAAGGGAGGTTCCCTGATCGAGACATTTACTATTTTAAAACTATGATTGTTAACAACTTTTTAATGAAGGACGAGCGACGGCTAAAACCTGTTGGAGGTTACTCAGGGTCATGACCTTGACAACATATGTTAAGGTCAAAGTCATTGGAAGGGGGTCCTCTCATCGACACATTTACCTTTTTTTCATACACGTATAAAGGTATATTACGATACATCAAATATTTTGATGATGTTTTCGATAAAATATTACTTTACTGTATTAAATATTACTTTTATCGCATAATATTACTCCTTGTTACATGTCATACAATGTATAAATGGAATCAATTAATCGAAACTTTCTAAACATAGATAAAATTTTAATTATTATTAATAATTTTAATATTATTTCAATTTTATTATAAATTTTTGTCGCAAAAAGTTATGTACGATTGTAGATTATCTGTGAGAAGATTTTTCTCGGCTGGACACTCTCAGGAACGATAATTATTCCTGGATTACTTATGTCGGAGCATACTACTAGCACATTGGCAGTGTTATTGAGACAATGCGCTAATCCACACGGTGACACGTTGCATTTACCACGTGCAACAGCGCCAGACAGCCTACAGAAACGACTTTACAACATGCTGAACGAAATGGAACAAGAATACTCAGCATTTGTATGAAAACAAGAAATGACATTTTGATAAAGAAAATAATTTATTTAAAATTATGAAATCAAGTGTTTTGTCTTTTCGATGATAACGATAAAAACTCTATAAAACAAAATAGAACAATTGAAGAGCTAAGAGCCAGTTATGTAATAAAGAATGTTTAATTTAAAGACAAAAATAAAAATAATTACATAAAAAACAAACGTTTCGACACCGATCGGGTCATTCTCAATGTTACAGTAAATATATTATTACTCAAAAATTTAAACCTTTTTAGAAGACGCAGTAGTGTATCCGACTATGTTCAAAAATTGAAAGACACTACAAGTCTCTTATCTCGAGCCACCAAAGTCCATTTTAGGGGGGTGCGTAACTACTAAAATATAAAAATTTTTGAATCGAATCATCCCAGTAAGCAAAATAATATTCCAGCAACGTTATTGAAATGATATTTAACAACATGTAACATTTTGGAATATGTAGTTGTTAACGTTGTATATAACGTTATCGTAAACAAACTTTGACGTACATTTAGAGATTTCAGTAATGTTGATATGGAGTTGCAATATCATTACAACTAATGTTGCGATAATATTTTTATTTCATTAGAACAATGTTGATATAAGGATAAAATATCGTTGGAACTAATGTTGCAGTAATGTTTTTCTAACATTAGAACAATATTCATATGATGATGAAATATCGTTGAAACTAATGTTGCGGTAATATTTTTCTTACATTAGAACAATATTCATATGACGATGAAATAGCAATATTTAGTAAATCAGGGAATGAAATATCATGATGCAAATATGAGAAAAACAAAATCACATCTTTGTTTCTCATATTTACGTTATATTTGCGTAATGATATTTCGTCTTCCGATTTACTAAATGTTGCTGCAATATTGTGCATTGAATTATTCTAATATAAAAGTGAAGTTGCCATAAAGTTTACGTACATACATTTGTCTATCTGGGAATATTCCAACCAAAAAAAATTTTTAATTTAATTTTTTAATTCTTTTTTAATTATTTGTATTATGTACATATATCATCTTTCTTATCATGTAATTAATAATAATAACACATTGAACATATATATGTTTCTGAAAATGCATATCGGGATATCGACGGGATTCGAACCTAAGATCTCTGGGTGGGAACCTAATACGCTAACGCTGAGCTATAATCGCACGCTTGTTTGAACACTTTGGTATTAGACTGTCATTCGTCTTGATCATATAATGGTTCGAATACCGTCGATATCTCATCATATTATGTGTTTTCAAGAATATTGTATATCCAATGGATTGTAATTATAATAAGAAAGTGTAATATGAGAATATAATTATATGTAAATAAATATAAGTTAATTATATGTGTACACAGAAATAATTAAAAAAGTAAGAACTATATTCTGAAAGTGATATAAAAGGTACCTGAGCCGAATAAGGCTCATCCACAGATTTCTATATAATATCTAGTTCGCTACCTCCACAAAATAAGGTGAAGCCAACTTGACAAGGGAGGGGGATAACGGTCATCTTTACCCGGTCATGACTAAACTACAGCATGCTATACCTTAATCTTATAATCGAGCTAAATTCCTCTAATCAAAGCAAAGTGTACGCATAGACTGGAATCAGAATACACATTGAAGATTGAGATTAAAGATTGAAATTTGGCCAATCAAAATAATAGAAACTAAAATTCCTTTATTCTCATTGATCAAATTTCGCAATTTTCAATGCATCAAAATCGACATCAGTTTACCTAAACTTTACAGTATATTTATCTTACTTTATGCGTAAAATAAAGATAAGTTTACAAATCATTTATGCTTACTATGACATCATATAAGAATTACGGCCGGTATTCATAGTCGATTCTTATTTCAAGATTGCCTTAAGTAATGTCTTAAGATGATAAAGCGGCCCTTTGATTGATTCGTAAAGCCCATGGCACATAGAAAAACGTAAGGCCGTAAACGTAATCAGTAAGCGAATTGACCAATCACAGTTGAGAACGTAGCAGCGACTGCTTACATTCTCAACTGTGATTGGTCAATTCGCTTACTGTTTACGTTTACGACCTTACGTTTTTCTATGTGTCATGGGCTTAACTCTTCAAGACTGAACTTAAGAAGGTCTTGAATATTAGAACTGTGACTATGAATACCGGCCTACGAAACCATTTAACAAAATTCAGTATATCAAAATCGACATCTGTTTACCTAAAATTTGCAGTATATTTATCTTACTTTATGCGGCGTAAAATAAAGATAAGTTTACAAATCATTTATGCTTACTATGCATCACATAATAACTGCAAATGTGCATCATTTTATAACGTATATTGCATATAATTATATATGATGTAAATGTTCCTTATAGTAATATCGTAAAAATAATGTTACAAATCTGAAATAAACTTTTCATACATATATGTTATTGCAAAACTCTATGACCAAAAATTTAATCACTGAAATACCTAAATTTTATAATTCCCTTAATGTAAATGTTTTCACTTTTATAATAATAATTAATACGTTAAAAATAGCGAATAAGAGTCAAATTACAATTTAAAATGTCAGTTTTCACTTTTATAATGTCATAAGTAATCATAAAATTGTTCTAAATTTTCAGTAAATTCATTTGTGCATATCGTGATCATCATACAGTCTATCTGAAATCGTATAAAAAATATGAAATATTGTATTGTGTAATATACGTATCAGAGCAACATTTATAAAATATTTAAAATAATATTAAGGAAATATGTTTTAAATATTCGAAAATATATATTATTCGGCAATATTTTAAAAACATTTATATAATGTTATGTAAGAACGTTCATATAATATTTTTATATCATTGCATATATGTTGACTTCATCTAAATAAACATATATTAGAGCAACATTTATAACACATTACGAATAATATTACGGAAACATTTTTTAAATATTGGAAAATATCATATTATTCGGCAATATTTTAAAAACATTTATGTAACATTGTGTAAGAACGTTGACAAAATATTCTTATATCATTGCATATATGTTGACATTATCTAAATAAACGTATTAGAGCAACATTTATAAAACATTTCAAATAATATTACGGAAATATTTTTTAAATATTGAAAAATATCATGTTATTCAGCAATATTTAAACAATATTTATATCACATTACGTAATAACGTTGATAAAATTCATATAAAATCAATGTTTCAAAATGTTAATGTAATGTTCCTTGCTTACTGGGATTATATGTCCTGAAAGGCGGCATCGCAACGAGTAATTTGAGCAAAAAAAAAATGTTTCATCGGTCAAGCCGTTCTGGAGATACAAGCGGTCGAAAACTGATGATTTTAATGAAAAATTAAGAAACGTCTCCTTCTTCTTCTTCTCCTTCTCTGTCCGCATTCAAGGCCGTATTAAAACTTTTTAACATCCTCTCTCACCTTTCACTTGCACCTCCACCATTTTCGACTCATCGGACCTCCTCCCCTCGCCCATTCCCCTCCCCCACTCCTCTTTTTCGCCGTATTTCACACTCTTTCGTTATTACAACTTCTTAACATCCTCTCTCATCTTTTACTCGCACCTTCACCATCTTCGACCCATCGGACCTCCCCCCCCGCCCCTCCCCCTCTCCCATGACTCCGCCCCTCCTCCTTCCCCACCCCTCTCTTTCACCGTATTTCACTCTCTTTCGTTATATAATATTTTTAAATAATTTTTTTATACATTTGTAATATATTTGTACTCTAAAAAGTAAGTGATATCCGAAAAAATCATATCATAAAAATGAAAAGTTCAAACCATGTTCAAAAAAGGATACTAAAAAATTTAAACCTTTTTATTTAATAATGGTACACTCTAAATTCGTTGCAGTGAAAAATATCACTTTATCATGCAGTGAAAAGCCGATTTTTGCATTTTCACTGTTATGCAGTCATTTTTTCTGTATGTAAAAGTGAGTTTTAACTTTTGTTAAAGTAAAATTTTCACTTTATTAGAAAGAGTGAAAAATATCACTGTTGTAAAAGCAGTGACATTTTTAAACCACTTTACGATACAGTGGTTTCCGCCATGACACATGCGCGCGTGTACTACGCATATTGTTTCGCGCCCAAACGAATACCTAACGAGAAAGGATCGGAGGAATAACTAAGAACAATGAAGAGAATTTTACCGGAGGTAAGTACGCAAAATAGTTAATTTTTTGAACCGAATATGATCAAGCCTTCATACCATCGACAAATATATATTACACACAATACAAATTATGTAATTAACACCAACGTTGTTGGTATCGGAGGTTAAATTAAATTTTTGGTTAACTTCAGATCTTGGATTTGTTCACAAATTTCATTATAATACGCGAGTCTGTATGTATATAGACACGCGTATTATGAAATTTATGAATAAATCTAAAATCTGAAGTTAACTAAAAACCTATAACTTATCCTAACCTCTGATAACGACAACGTTGGCGTTGATTCATATGCTGTGTTCCAAATTTCCTGCCAGCGCTGAAAATGCTACCGTTTACGTTACGTACATTATAGATTTTTAGTTCTGCCAGTTAATTTCGAAACAGCCATAATTTGAATTGTACATATATTTGTTGATTATTTATTCGGTATGAATGTATATGATTTATATTCTGTTAAAAAAATAATAGTATAACTTATCTTATTAATCGCTTTTTTTAAATTAAAATCATTATGACATACTATGTGTGCCTTCCATCAAGCGATACGCTACGACACAATGATTTCATCCTTGTTTAACGTTGGCGAACAACAAGGATGTAGTGTTACACTGTGTCACACCATCTGTGTATCTTGTTGGAAGGTACACTATATTAGTAGCAAAGGTGCGTTCCGATATTCACTGCCCATGCCAGTGCAGAAAATCTATAATGCATATAACGTATACTGTATAGTTTTAGCACTGGCAGTGAATATCGGGACGCATCCCAAGTAACATGTAGCAAGTAATACTTTCGAACTGTTTAGAGATTAGATATCAGTTAAAAGAGCTTATTGGCTCATTGCAGATAATAATTTTTAATTTGCAGATTACAAAGAGAAGCGAAACGGCTTTAACAGAATATCTATTGCAAGAAGGCGTCTCAAAAGAGGCTTGTAAAATTCTAAAACGTAAGATTATCTATCAGCGAGATTTATTAATTATTAATTTAAATTTTTTGTGGCATATGCTTTTAAATGTGCATCACAGCAAGAACGGTTTTGCTAAATTGTTTAAAAATTCTAAAAATTTAGCTAGATATAGATTTGTTAATAAATTTTGTTGCACACTATCAAAGTATTTGTGTAAAATATAAAAAAATTTTGATATTCTAGCAATCAGCTTGATCTATACACAAAAAAATATAAACATTTATTATCTAAATCAATGCGTATATAACACTTTATGATATATTATTTCGATATTGCTAATTTTTCAGGCGAATTTCTACGACATAATAACAGGACATGGCTTTTTGCAATTTCGATTTTTGACAGTCCGGAAAACTCAAAGTCCATCTAAAAAGATCAGAAATACTTCAAAACATCCAATACCAAAAAAACCAAAGTTATGTGATGCCAAGGATAAAGATCTTTTGGAAACTCTGCAGTTGGAAGAAAAAGTAAAAATTTTTATGTATTATAGTATAAAATACAGAAATACTTCATATAGAATACGTATAATATATAGAGTTGTAAGTGTATATTTATTTTTTCATTATACTTAGATTGCCTGGATGAATATGAAAGTAACCGACGAATCAAATAAGGTAGCGTTACAGATGGTTTTAACTGAAACGAGACCCAATCGCTTAGTAGAAGTACAGGATGCTAAATACACTATAACTGATATTTTAAAACGATATGGTCCACTTAAAGCCTATCATGGAGACATGGTTAGAAATCATGACAAATGTATATAAGAATTACAAAATTGTATTATTTTCGATTTCTTTTTCAGATTGACTACGAATTTAATGCAATTTGGCCAGGAAAAGATAATTTTTTGGGACGATTCTCAACACAGTATACCCCAAAGATTATTCGTTATATTAATGAAATAAGATCCGATCTTACAAATTTCATGGTGACAGCAAATGGTATAAAAATTCTACATATAAAATAAGTAGTTATTGACTTATAGTTAATAATAATTAAATTTTTGTAATTTCTTAATTTTTTCGACAGAGGATTTAAGAGCACTTTGTGCAATTCCATTATTATTACCAACTCCTAACTATGGGAAAGGAAAAGGATGTAAGGTAAATTTTTATTTTGTTAATTTACACAATATATATTAATTTTATAAACTGCATATAATATATATTTTATAAATATAAATTATAGTCCGATGTAAATTTTACTAAAAAGAACTATAATTACTGATGTTAATTTCAGGGAAAAGGGAAATCTAAGGTTCTCCTATCAAATTCGAAAATCGTCCCTAAATGTAACAAACCACATCCTGATTTGATTAAGTTTATTTCGGTAAGAATTATATACATATATATATATATATATATATATATATATATATACAATGAGTGTGCACGCGTGTGTATTCAGGTACATCTATTTTATTTTATATTAACAAATTTTCATTGTAGGATAGCGAAGATTTGGTAGCACAAACTACATTGGAAGGCGCTTCAGCACAGATACAGCCTTTTTTAATTTGTGCTCAGGCTTCAAATGAAGATTTCAAAGGGCATTTTTTTATTCGAGCGGATGATATAATCATATCCTTAAGAAAAGATCCTATACACGCCTTCGACATTTTGATAAAATTTCACTATATCTTGAATGTGAAATTTGCTCCTTCATTGGAGAACTTTTATAACTTTATTGTGGCCTGCATTATGGACATAGAAAAACCACGTCCCATTTGCGACAATTTAGATATAATATTACAAAATTCATTTGCGACAACAGATATAATAGAAGTTTAATATTTGTTAAATATAATATATTACAAAATTTAATTTAAAAATTTTATTATACTTATATTTCATATTATATATATACATTAGGGTGTCCGTTATTTCCCAAATTTCAAAAATCAGTTTGTTCGCCCCCTAGATCTCTTCTTTGGCACCAAAAATTAATGTAGAAACTCAATATAGTCCGATAAATTAAAATTAAGCCGTGCCACCGAGCACTTCTTTTTTTCCATACAAATAACATGGGGATTTTGCATTTTATCGGCATTTAATTCTC